TCTTGGTTCTATATGCACTTACGAAGAATGTGTGTTCTGCTTTTATCAAAATCAAGTCAGCTGATCACATTGTTAAATTCTTCTACATCCTTAATGATTATCTTTCAACAACAAAAAAAAAGAATCACAAATTGAATTTTTAATACCATGTAAAAATCATACTTATGAAATGCTTAGGGATAAGTCTGACAAAGGAGGTACAAGATCTATAAACTAAAAATTATAAAACACTGCTGAGCTGAATTAAAGGAGGCTTAAATAAATGGAGAGATATAATGTGGTATGGGTCAGAAGACTCAATATGTGTAAAATGTAAGTTCTCTTCAAAGTCTATAGACTAAACGTAATCTTAATCAAAATTCCAGAATGCATTTTTGGAGGGCAGAAATTTACAAATTGACTCTCAAGTTCATATGGAAATGCAAAATACCTAGAATCACAAAGACAACTTTGATGAAGAAGAACAACTTAGAAGACTTACTCCCAGACTCCAAGACTTACTACAAAGCTACAACAATCAAGATAACATGGCACTGGGTGTCAAGATAGAAAAATGGACAAATGGAATAGAAAAAGGTCCAGAATTAGACATTCACATATACAGACAGCTAATTTTTTGGCAAAGGTGCAAAGGCAAGTGAATGGATATGCATTAATAATAATAATAATAATAATAATCTTTGACTCATACCTTACACAACTTTAACTTAAAATGCATCATGGATCTAAATAAAAAGTTTAAAACTATAACACATCTAGAAAAGAGCAGAGGAGAAAATCTTGTGACATAACTTGGGCAAAGATTTCTTTGCTATAACCCTAAAAGCATGATTCAAAAATAAGTAACTGGCAAATTATACTTCATCAAAATTAGGAACTTCTCTATTTTAAGACACAGTTAAGAGAGTTAAAAGACAAGCTATGGTATGGGAGAAAATACCTGGAAATCTTATATCTTATAAAGGACTTTTATCCAGAATAAAGGACTCTCAACACTTAATAATTAGACCAAAAACAAACCAATTTTTAAATGGGCAAAATATTTGCTCAAAGACTTCACCAAGAAAACATACAGATGGCAAACAAACACATTAAAAGACACTCACAGCATCTTTAGTCACTAAAAGAATGAAAATTAGAATCTCAGTGGGACACCACTACACATTTATAGAATAGCTAAAATTGAAAGGACAGACCATAACAAGTGTTGGTGAGGACATGGAGCAGCTCTCACTCTTATGTACTGCTGTTGGAAATGTGAAATACCACCACCTCTTTGGAAAACAGTTCGGCATTTTCTTAAAAACCTGAAGCTACATCTACCATATGATCCATTTCACAAGCAGGTATTTTCCCAAGAGAAATAAAAGCGTATATCCATACAAAAACTTGTATAGGAATGGTCATAGTAGTACTATCTGTCATAGCCAAAACCGAGATTCAACCCAAACATCCAGTAACAGGTGAATGGATAAACCAACTTTGGTGTATCCATACAGTGCAATACTACCTGGCAAATAAATAAACAAACTATTGATACATGTAACAACGTCGATGAATCTCAAAATACTTATGTTAAGAGAAAAAGCTATGCAAAAAGAGAGTATATACTGTATTACACCTTATACATAAAATTCAACAGAATGCAAATTAACTTACAGTGGCAATAAGCAAATCCCAAACTGTGAATATGTTGGGCAGAGGTAAGGGATGGAACGAAGAAGGGTGGGAAGAAGGAATTACAAAGAAGCACAAGAAAACTGTGTGGGGTGATAGATATGTCATGTTCTTGCCTGTGGTTATGAATCTATGAGTGTACTCATGTCAAAACACTGAATTTTTACACTTCAATTTGTAAAGTTATTGGATATCAATTTTATCTCAATAAAGTTGTTTGTAAAAATCTAAGGGCAACTCATAGAATAACCTTGGTTTTATGTTGTATAATGCTTAGAGCACTTAAAAATACTTAGCTCCAAGAAATTACCTTAACTTTTCAATACAGTAATTACATCAAATATTTCTGAAGACAGGTCAGACCTCCTCAGTATAAAATCTCATAGCAATCTATACTTCTACTTTGTAGGGCTTACCACAATTGCCATCAATCCTTATTGTATCAATATTTCTCTTTCCATGACAGCAGCTGCTATCAGTATCCTTTGTTATCGAATCTTTCTGTCCTGGTATATAGTAAGCGCTCAGTAATCATTTACTGAATATAATGTACTTGACCTGGTATCTGGGTAAGCAAGAACAGGTGGTTGATACTTTCAATGACATATACTAAAAGGTAAGAAACTATTTTTGCTCTCTATGCTTCTTTCCTTCTTTTTCCCACTTATTTTATAATACTTATTTAAGAAAAAAATTTTAGTATTTTTTTTATTTTGGTATCATTAATCTACAATTACATGAGCAACATTATGTTTACTAGACTCCCCCCATCGTCAAGTCCCCCCCACATACCCCATTACAGTCCTGTCCGTCAGTGAAGTAAGATGCCATAGAATCACTGCTTGTCTTCTCTGTGTTGCACAGCCCTCCCCGTGACTACCTCACACTATGTCTGCTAATAGTAATGCTCCTTTTTCCCTCTTATCCCTCTCTTCCCACGCATGCTCCCCAGTCCCATTCCCTTTGGTAACTACTGGTCCATTCTTGGGTTCTGTAAGTCTGCTGCTGTTTTGTTCCTTCAGTTTTTTTCTTTGTTCTTACATTCAGTATTTTTTTTAAGACAAACATCTTTGTTAGGATTTGTTGCACTCTGGTATCTGTAAGTTACTTGGGAGGAAAAGAGACAAACATAGTACAATTTTCAGGTATTTTTAATGATTAAGTTGTGATGACTGTAATGAGTATTATATGAGTAATATCAGCTTTTTTACATGGTTATTAATTTGGCATTTTCAGCATCAAGAAAGGGAAAGAGATTGCATAAACCTCAGGGTAGACAGATTATAATGTGAGTAATGAACTACTAGTGAGACTTGAGAGCTCCTCTGGGGGCTGGAGCCTCTGGGCTAGAAGGTTCAGAGACCATCCATGCCTGAAGAAGATGCAGGACAGAGTGGATTCCTCAGCCACTTCTCAGCATCTTAATTACAAAAACATTCAAGCCTAATATTAGTACAACACTATTTGAAGAAAGAAAAGTTAACACATCTTTTATTCCCTCACTCATTCCCCAGCTGCCTATTACAAAGCTTCTAGAATGCAACCTCCAGTATCCCAATGAAGCACTTCAAATTAAGAAGTCTCCATTTTGGAAAGCCTTGTTTCGATAACTTACTCAGACAGCTACTGCTGGCTTCTGCCTCCAGCACTCAGAGCAGCCCAGGGAGATGTGAGGCTGAGTGTCAGGAAGCAGTTAGAGGGAAGGATGCCATGAGAGGAGGTCATCATCCCCTCCACGGTACACCTTGGCGGCAGCACCTCCCGGGGCCTCCCCTCCCCCCTTTAGTGCTTTTGAGAAACTAGCGAGCGTCTCCTTTGTCAGAAAGAAACGCACTGCAGGCATAGCCCTTGGCCTTAGATGTTTCTGCCAGCAACCAGATGATCAGATCGGTGGTGTCAGTTTGGTCCTTGTCGTGGACAGGCTTATCAGGCACCCTTCTTTCCTGCGACTTCTATGCAGTCACGAAGTCTGCTTTTAATTTCAAGTCACTCTATAATTCGTCCCCTTTCTTTTCAACCTAAAATTATTATCTTAATGCAGGTCCTCTTTATCTGTCATCCAGAGACAATTTAAGATCTTTGGATGCCCTAAACACTGAGAACAGTTCTTGTATCACCACCCTTTATATACTTACAAAATATAAAACTATGAAATAAGAGGCTTTCTAGTATGATGAAATGAAAATAGCTTCTTTCTAGATTTTTCTAAAAAAAAATTAATATAACTGTAATTATGCTTCCACAGATAAATTTGCCCAAGGAAAGCTTTCTCTAGAAAGTTGTATTTGCATTGAGTTTGGAAATATAAAGAGGATGCTCTAGATGAAGAAGGGGGAAAGGACTCCCAGACAGAAGTGCATGTGCCCAGCATTTTGGTGTGAAATAGGAGGCTGTGTTCCCAGTTGCATGAATGGAGGAAGTGCCTGGAAAGAGAAAGTGAGACAGGAGCCAAACTACAACGGTCCATCTGCTGAGCTAACTATGTCCTCCAAGCTATGGGGAAGACAATGATGAATTTTAAGAAGATCTGTACCATGTTCAGGTTGACCAAACCTCTTTCTGTAACTTCTGAGATCTACTGACATTTTCAAATACAGAGAAAGGACAAAGATCAAGCACCAAAACAAAACAAAACAAAACAAATTTAGCTTACAGAAGCCAACAACCATGATTCTGAAAACTAAGCTTCCTTCTCAGAATTGTCCTAGACTCTTTACCCAGAAAGCTCTTCCCAGTGGTCTCCATGGCTTGCGCACCATCTTTTCTCTTGTGCCCTCCGTGACCTCCTAAATGTATCCAAGGTTGAGGCCAAAGACCAGTTGCAGGCCTTCCTGACCAGTCTCAGGGCCTCTCACGTGGATCCGGTTTCTGTCTTTGGGAGAAGCCTCATCCTTACCCCTGTTCCTACCACCGCCCCATTGCAAATCCTTCCCAGCGGTTGGGTCCATTCCATTCAGAGCGTCTCAGGCTGCACAGCAGGAAGAGACTCCTACTCTTCCCTCACACAGTAGAAACCCAAAAGACAACAAGACTTCCATCGCTCAGCGAGCTTGATATGCAGTTACATAACGGGCTGACTTGCGTCCCCTGAAAATCTGTATGTTGAAGTCCTAACCCCAATTCCTCAGAATGTGACTGCATTTGGAGATAGGATATTTAGAGTTAATTAACTTAAAATGGGGTTATTAGGGTGGGGCTTATGCAATGATTTGTCTCCTTCTAAGAAGAGGAAATGTGGACACAGATCCACACAGACAGAAGACCATGCAGAGCCAGGGAGAAGACGGTCACCTACAAGCCAAGGAGCGTCGCCTCAAAGAAACCAAGCCTCGCTGATGCCTTGATCTCAGACTTCCAGCTTTCAGAACTGGGAGAACTTGCATTTCTGTTGTTTAAGCCACCCCGTCTGTGGTGCTTTGTTACGGCAGGCCTGGCAAACCAATATAATATGTGACAAGACGGAGAACACTTTTTTCTAGCAGAATTCCTCTCAGGGGAACTCTTCTTATTTCAGGACTGCAGGGACCAGTGCAAAGAGGAGTCAAAGGTATGACATGGAGGGCCTGGGGCTGGGTCTGTGGGTGCCCAGGCTGCCAGGAAGCAGGTGAAGCAAGCTGAGGACTCTTCCTGGTGTGGGATGGAAGATCCGTGGACGCTGGGGGAGGGTCAGGGAGGACAACCGTTTCCTGTCGCTGCCATAACAACTTAGCACAAACTGTGTGGCTTAAGACAACACAAATTTATGATTTTACAGTTCTGAAAGCCAGAAATCTAAAGCCAGTTCTATGGGGTTAAAATCAAGGTGTCAGCAGGGCTGTCTTCCTTCTGGAGGCTCCAGAGGAGAAGGTGTGTCCTTACCTTCTCCACCTTCCCAGGAGTTGCCTGCATTCCTTGTGTCCCGGCCCTGTCTTCAAGGAGCATCACGCCAACTCCTGTTTTTATCACCGCATCTCCTTTTCTGACTCTTCCATTTCTCCTTCCTTCTTCTAAGAAACCGTGTGATTACATCAGGCCTGCCTGGGTAACCCAGGCTACTCTCCCATTGCAAGATCTGTAACTTAATCACATCTGTCAAGTCCCTTTTGCCTGTAGGGAAACATATTCCCAGGTTCTGGGGATAGGGACATCTGTGTGCACAGGGTGGGGGGCCATTATTCAGCTTACAGCAATGAGGTAAACAAGAGGGTGAAATGGCCCCAGGAAGACTGGGAACACAGAAATGTTAAAGGAGACTTTCTGGGCAGAGACCTATGTGCTATGATCTCTGTCTCAGATCGCACAAATCTTCAGCTACCACCAACTAAATCACAAAATGCTTGGCACAGTTGGGGAGAGGTTTCCCAGGAATAGACACTGGGACAAGAATTAAGCAATTTACTTGGGAGATGGTATAGGAGTGGAGAAATTACCCAGTCAGTGGAAGATAATCAATATATGGTACACTATAAAGCCAGCTAACGCTGTTGACAACTCAAGCTTAATTCCCTTGGGAAGTCATAGAAAAAGTATAAGACACACATCAGAGTTGTCCCGCACGAGAAGCGAGGGAACCAAGATATCTACACACCAAATTCTGTGCGTCACCAGTTGAGCCCTGCTCCCACATCATAATTCCCAGGCACCTCTTCACCGTCTTTTGCAGAGGAGTCTGGTAGCTTCTAGAGGATTTGGAGAAAGCCATTCATCAAGGAAATGCAAACCCTAGCAATCCAAAGTTAGTGGGAGCCCAGGACAGTGGAAATAACAAATGGATATGGGCAGGGCATCACCAGTGTCTGCTAAAATTAGATTCTTTGTGGAAATCAGGGACGTGGCTGAGATGTGCATCCTCACTGAAGTGGGGCTGAAGTAGTCCATAAATGTGAGGTAACAGCTGACGTCTGGGTGACACGGAATAAACATCAGTGTAACAGAGGCTTCTGAGCTTGTCTTCTGCCTTATGCCTCCAGAATGTCACTGCTGCAGCTCATTTTGTATACTCTCCTACAGAAAAATCAGCCTTGACCTCCTTGCTGTCTGGCTCCGGTTCAGGACTTCTGTGGCGTCTCCATTTCCAGCACTTCTCTGGTCTGGAGCCAATTTCGCCTCCACTTCCCCTCCTGCCACATTTGGCTTAGACTGAACATCAATCTGCATGGCTATTCATCTCTATTGCTCTTTTGAGTAGATGAAAATACATCAGAGAGAGTTCCTCTCCACCTACTACTTCCTCCCTTGATTAAAAAAGAGAATTTTAAAAGAAATTACAAAAAGAAAAAATCCCCAACTGTTATTATCTCCTTCCTTTTCACTCCTCATCCTCAGCCCTTTCTCTCCGTCTTCAGCCATAAATCAGGCAGTTCTGGAGTTTCCACATCCAAATGCACGGGGACAATATGCATGTGGGTACTTTTAAGTAAGAAGTCAGTGTTCTATAATTTAATTTTCTCCCTCACATTAAACCTGCCATTCTTCACATAATCAGAGTGATAAATGCAGAGTCAGACTTCATCTTCTTGACATTAATACCCATCAGTACTTCAAATGCAAACAATTGCGACATTCGACTTTATAAAAATTACCAAGTGCACCAACTCTGCTTAATTAAACCATTTAAAAGTTGCTTTTGTTACATTTAATGAATGATATATTATACTGCAATGAAACATGCAGCAATACAAATACTTCACAATGCTTCCAATTAAGACTCACTTCACTTATGCCAATTGACAACACAAGTGTTCCACACTTCATTCAGTTTGTGCATTTTAAATGAACTGGTTAGTGAGAAGGGTGCTTCTCTGCTAATGAGTTTTGTAATCAAGGCATCTATTTTAATTTCAAATTGGCTAGATTGGGGAAATTGCTAGACTAAATGACTGGTACTAATTAGGATTATAAAAATATTCATCATGTCATGGAATTAACATGGGGGTCTGATTTTCCTACATTTGCATATTGCTTGAGTTTTTTGGGGGAAAAATCTTGACAAATTGTCTTCTCTTTAGCAAATTGAACAAACACTATATCTGTTTTATCCCTTCTTTTCATTTAAAGCATAATACATATTCATGATTTGTAAATGAAGTTAAATGATTTCAACTTCTGTCTTCATTACCATATTAAAGATGTTGTCTCTGTAAGCTTCCTTGAAAAAACTTTAGATTATAATATTACCTATTTAAATGGTAAAAGCTTTGGTTTAATCTGTGCTAGTAACCCAGATGCTGAAACAAATTCATGGGAAAAGTGAGCAAAACTGGACAAAACCTGAAAAAAACACGACTGCTCTGTTGTTTATTTTCTGCCTGAGGCAGAAGTAATCTGTCCTAGGGTCTATCACCAGTAAGCGGTTTCATGACTTCACTCCTTAAACTCCCACTCCGGAAAAATGCTGTCAGTTGAGGAGCGTCACAGAGGAACTGCTGGATTACTAGGAAGGTCTGTTTTCTGCACGGCCGATCCTGTTGTTTCTGTTACAATGCTCTCTGCGGCGGGTTCAGCCCATATGGAATTCCCTCTGAAGTGGCATAAAGTCAGTCTACTAAAGAGAAAAAGGTGCGGTGGCAGTGGGGAACCACGGCCAGACCAAGGATAGAGAGCAGGCCAGGCCCCTCACTGGCTCTGTGACCTTGAACAAGTTAATACATCCTTCAAGAGTTATACACTTACCTGGAACTTGGAAATAATAACATCACCTTGCAGATTCCTAGAATTCGATGTAATAATGTATGTAAAAGCACCCGTCAGTGCCCATTCCCAGGACATACATCTCCATTTCCAAGAAGCATCTCTATGACCGACCCTGAGTAAGGTAACATGGGAGTTTAAGAGCTACTACAACACAAACCTTAATTCACTGCACATGTCTACACGCCTTTGCTCTGGAGTATTTGTTTCCATTATAGCTGTCAAATCAAATAACCAAATACTAATTCAATTTGGGGATATAGCCACAAAATTCATCTGAAAAACTACCAGAATAAATCATTTCTTTAACATCCATCTATAGTGGATACTTCTAAATAAAAAAACCTGTATCTATCACCGAGTTGTAAATAATATAGATTGAGGATATATCCGACAACAGCACACTTTTTGTTTGGAGGAAAAAAATGCTTAGAGTTTCACAGTTTAAAAGGGACCATTGAAAAAAGCAAAATTGAAGAAAAGAGAAATCCCAAGCTCAGTATATTCCTCATTCAGGGAAATTTTCCTCTAACCTACACTGCTTTTTGAAAAGGTATTTAAATAATTATTTGAAATGACTTTTCCTAAATTGACCCTATTCACGCCTGAAACCTTTTCTAAAAGCCGTACCTTATACTTAGAACTGAACAGAAGCTATGCAAGGTAGATTACTTCTCATAATTTTTAATTATAAAAGTAATCTAATGAAATAATGGGAAATTTAGAAAACAAAAAGAATGAACTAATTCCATGAACGTAATCCCATCATATCAAGTGAGCCCAGGAAATATCTGGGAAATATTTTGCCTACTCTTTAAAATTTTTCTCCTTCCCGCACTCTTTGCTTCCTTGCTTTATCTTTTTTTTTTTTTTTTGCATACCTATATTCAGAAAGTACTAACATATTTTTATATATGTATGTAATATGAAATATATGTGTTAAATAGGTATTTAATATTTATCCATGTTGCACATGGTCATCACTACAACCATTTTAATGTCTGCAAAATATTCTGGCAAATGTGTACCATGACTTTAAAACATGACTTAATGTTGGGCATTCAGTAACTTTCCATCCAGTTTTTCCTCTTATGAATGACTTTGATAAATGTCATTGTGCCTAAAGTTTCATAGTATTGTTCCATTGCTATACTCTCAGAAATGGAGTAAGTGAATCATTGGCTCAGTATCATGAATACCTGTATGTCTTCTGATATGCATTGCCAAGATGTATGCCAGGAAGGAAAATTTATTTGCACAATGCATCGGTACTATTTCGAAATATGAATTTCACCATCCCTTCACCAACATCACGAATTTTCCTCATGGCACAAAAAGTAATACTTTTTTTTTTTAAATGAAACAGGTAAACTAATTTAAATGAGTACCTTTTGAAAGTTTCTTGATAAGTTCTCATCAATGGATTCTTGCTTTGGTTTAGTCTAATTCTCTCTCATGTTAATTTTTGTTTTAGTTCTCCTCTGACATTTACCTTCCTTGCTGTCTTCCAATCTTTCTTCTGAGGAATTCATCTTGCATTTATTCCTTCACCAGTTTAGCCAGACATAAATCATGTGTGTGGAAATTAAAAATGCCCCTGACTGACAGTGGCCTCACTGTGGGTGGAAGATAATGACTAGTAAAGGCACCAGGGGGATTCTGGGATGCCCATCATG